GCGATACAGGTATCGGGACCAGCCAGTCAGAAACAGGGGGCATTTTGCATGAAGAAACAACAGTATATATGGACATATTTGGAGGTGGAGATGTGTCGGCTCTTCCGTCCCATTTTACTCCTAAGCTAATTAGAGTTCTGGGAAAAAGTATCTTTCTTCTGAACAGAGCGTGACAGCATCGGAACTATACAAGGTCAGAATCACTTTTGATCTTATACCTGGGTTAACTCCTTTAATTTCCCAGGGAAGATTTCACACAAACTATTATTTTAAAACAATCAAACATTGTACACAGAAATATTGGTGCTTCGGATTATTCCCAGCAAGGACCAAAGAAAAAGAACATGTGTGTGTGTTAGTGAGGGAAAGTGTATGTGTGTGTGTGTGCATGCTGATAAGCAGAGGCATATGCGTGTGTGTTGCTGATATCTGGGTTAAGGAGTTTATGTGTGTGTGCTGCATGAAGACAGGAGGAGGTGTATGTGTGTGTGTCAGGGTCTCTGGGTCATGGAGTGTAAGTAAGAAGGTTTAGATATATAGGATTACTTTAAACAGTCCCAAATAATACATGTTCACTTCAATACAGTTCAAGATAATACCTGTTTACTTTAATACAGTTTAGAACAATATCTGGGTGCTTTAATATATATATATATATATATATACACAGTGCAATATGCTTCTTAGTGCAATAATAAGCTACAGGGACGTTAATCTAACGTCGGTAATATTAACTTTATTTAATACAACATTTACGGTACAAGATTTAATCATACAGCCCATGTAGTATAATATTTTACAAATGATGAATTACAATGTGCAATATATCCGTTATTACAGCTCCGTGGGATGGCAGTAAGGCGATATGGGTCCGTTCTTATTGTGCATCCATGGGTAAAGAGAAACGCATGTAGTGCAGAACACGTAACATGAACGTGCCGGGCAGCGCGGTCCCGTGGGTTAGATGCGCGTTCATAATGTAGAGGGAAATAACTCTCCGAATAACGTAATTTGCACATTTTTACAACTTGAGGAACGAATGTTTTTACTAAGGGCTATACAAGTGTTCATACTGGGTAGTTTATTTAGTTTAAAAAAAATTATCCAACGATTTACAGACCACTCTTTCCCCATGTAAGTCAATGGGAAAAAGTGTTTCCGGGCCTGGCAACAAAACGGATGTGCAGTACCGCCGTTTGTCCACCACGAATATTCTCATCTGAGTCCGGCGCACTTCCTGGGGCTTGGTATCCTCCCTTTCGTCTCCTCCCGCACCCCTCCTCCCTCACCCCTCCTCGACTCCTCCGTGTGCATTTCAGCTATTGGGACGTCCTTCAAAATGGAGTATCTTGATCGATTTCCGGGTCAAGTCCCGGAGGAGGGGAAGAGAGGAGTCGAGGAGGGGTATTGGGATGAGGCTCATGTCTCCTGACTCGCTTCCTGCCTCGTCACTTCCCTCTAACTCCCCGGGTGCGTTCGGATAGTTTAAAAATCAGCTCCTAAATTCTAACCCTATCTCCTATTCTTTGACCTCTGAGTGAAACGTCATGGGGTTAAGGGATAGTGGATAGGAGAATTCAAAAGGACTTAGGAGAAGAGACTGCGGTGTTTTAGAGAATCCGAATGCACTTTCACTATCTGACGTGTTTATGATGCGCCAGCGGACGTCATAAATGTGCGTCTGCTGCTGTGGGGAAACTATGGAAACTACAATTTTCTATACAGCGGACTACAACATGGATGTTTAATAAGAACGAGGGACTACTGTAAACTCATCTAGAGACTCTGCACCGTGCTCTGACGCTGTTGCTTTATGTTTTATGAACAGGGACAACAGAGAAACATATTCTTCATGACCAAAGTTGGAATTGAAATAAAAAAGGAAAGTGAAACTTATGCTTGTCACCCTCTCCCTCCGGTCCACATTAATACAAATGATCCCAATACGTATGATTGTATGAAAAGATCTTAAAATCAATACAAATGTATTTATTATAAACGTTAGTCCTTAACATCTATCACTGTGTATATCACCATTCAAACATCTTTTAAAAGTTGAACAAACCCCACACAGCTCAGTGAAATGTTGACTTTATTTGATCATTTCAGTAAAAACTAACGTTCATATTTCTCTTTTTGATTATAATACTGATGAACGTTCAAAACAAAGCACTTTGGCAACTTACCACATACGTTTTAAAAAGCTTAATAAGCATCGTAACGTTCATGATATAATTTCTCCGTCATAATCGATTGTTTCTGTGAACTGTTGTGTGACGTCAAATGCTGCGGCTGCAAGGCATTGTGCAGCATTTTCTCCTCTCCTTTCGGTTAGGGAGGTCCAGTGGTTCCTAAGCTAAAGGAGGTTATAAAGGACGTTTGAAACCTCCTTTCCTATCATTCTAGAGAATTCGAACGGCACTTATCATGGCTGCCAGTGAGGGACTTCCGTTAGGAAGGTTCCTAAGCTAAATAGACTATTCGACTGCAGCCCTCCACTGTCAGTATAGGAAGTGACGATTCTGACGCGTTTTTTTTCCCGCCCACCGAAGGACTCGTTTGATGGAAGTTTTCAAATCACAATGGAGACTCATCACGGAGGTGATGAGTCCGCCCACCGTGCACTTTGGGTCGGCCTTGGCCAAGCCCTTTTGACCCCCCCAGCCTGGTTCTCGTTCACTTTTTTTTTTTCTTTGGCTATTGCACCCGGTTTCTACCGGGGACATTGCCCCCCCCCCCCCCCCCACTCATCCATATATTAACGGATTTTGACCATTTTTGTTGCTTTTTTCTCCTCTCCTCTCACTGATCGAATGGCAAACGCGACCCACTGTCGGAGGGCCTCCACGCCGGCCCGGCCTAGTGCCGGGGCTCTGGCGATCGGTTCCTCCGAACTGCGGGTTCGACTCTGATGGCCGGGAGGGTGTGCTGCGTTAGGGTGGGGGACTTCCCCCACTCTGCGTGTCTCTTCCTTCCCGGGCCGGCCGATATGAAGCGTGACCAAGACGCACCGTCCAGGGGTCCCACGGGTCCCGCAGCGGGGTGGAGGTTCCCAGCTGGAACCTCCCCACCTCCGCCGGGGTGCACCCGGCAAACACGGTTGTTTCTCGAACCTTCCACTGTTGTCTAGCGGGTGTAACTAAAATACAATATGTCGTATTTATATATTTAAATAAATATATATCTATATAGATAAGTGTCAGTACGATTTTATTTTGTATTTGCGTGCATTTCCTGTTTGGAAAGTGGCACTGTACTGATAGTGGTGATTTTATTTTTGGAATTCTTAGCGTGCACTTCCTGTCCTGAGAGTGGAGGTGTCCTGAGAGAGGAGGTCTGCACCGGAACTGTCCTGAGAGTGGAGGTCTGCAGGCAGACCCCTCTCGTTTTTTCAGCCTTTGTTATCATTTTGATAGGCTAATTAAACATATATATTCTTGTCTGTGGTTGTTTTTGCGTTCAAGGCATACAAGGGGTGTAACATTATTTTAATACCAAAACTATATTGAAATAGAGTCTCGCTTGAACAGCAACTGCGTAGCTGTAACATTACTGGGTTATTAGGTGATAACTACCAAAGTAAAGTAACTTCAGACGCAGACGTCACGTAGCTTCTCAGACGAGAGGGGTGGTGACGAGAGTGTCACGTTACTTCTCTCGCGGCATAGTTCACGGCATGGTAGGCGACGATCGACACATTAGTGAGCTCAGTGAGTTCGTTCATTGGCACAAATCACACCTCATATTCTTTGGCACAAATCACACCTCAGTGTGAACTCCTCTGTCCGCGTCACCTCCTCAGAGGCTTCTCAATACTCAAATTTCCCCTCCTCGACTCCTCGGTCCTCCGGTAGTGACCCGGAAATGAATTTCAGCGCGCCATTTTGAAGGACATCTCATTTCTCTAAATGCACACCGAGGACCGAGCATCGAGCGTCGAGCGTCGAGGAGGCTCTCTGCAGGAGCTATAACCGAGGATACACTGATGGTTCCTCCACGGCTCCTCCGCGGATGCATTTCCGGGAACGGTGGAGGCGTGACGCACGGCCGGACTTATCTCAGCCAATGACAGCTCTGCATGCATCCTCTGGATATTATTTTAGAAACTGCTTTCATCGCGTCGCGATCAGAGCCCTAGAGATACTAAGAGTTACGACACTCTTTGATGTCGCCGCCAGCCGGTCACGTGGTTTATGTATGCCGGGATAGTTCCAAACGCACTTCCGTGGCAATGCTTCTCTATGGCAAAAACAGCACGAACATGGTCAAAATAGTCATAGCTTAAACCAACGCTGTTATTTTTTAAAGATTGCTTTCATATTTACATGATGTGGTTACACTTTGTATGAATTGGCACTATTTCCAAGTTTCGTTATTTAACGATTTTTTGAGGGGAAAGTGTGGTAGCACAAGCAGGCTATGTTGCTGTCACTGCCAGGGCAGTCACGTCCGTAGTATGGGACAGACAGACAGCAGCGATTGCGTTATTGAATGGTAAATATATATAAAAAAACACACACACCCAAGTACTTTTTTAGCTGTAATTGCATTATTGCATACTTTTTATTGACAGTTTTGCATTTGGAGAGGCAGGGTGAGAACGGAAAGCTTGGTAGTGTAGTGCCAGGAAAAGGGAGTCGGAGGCGGTGTATTAAGAACAGAGTTCCAATCTTTATTAGCCATTAATAACAGAGAGGTTATCACATGAACTGCTCTGCTTGACGAGCTAGCAGGAATGGAAGCTAACGCTACAGGTGTTCACACTAAAGGGTCCGTGTGGCAACACAATACGAGAGGTGAATTATGTCCAATAACGTGTCACCACAGTAGCCTATTACTTAGATACGTTTTACATTTTTGGAGGGAAACCCTTGTGTTCATGTTAGCATGGGTAGCATGATCATGTTAAGACTATGAATATCATTTTACCACAACAGTGGATGAACAATTGATATATGTGTTTGAACAAGAACAACAGGAAGAACAAAGTAAAAGGGACGAACACATGTGTGAACAAGTATTAAGAACAGTGTATGGAAAAAGTGATGTGATGATGTGGGATGTGTGTTAGAACAAAACAAAGTCAAATGAATGAGAAGGAGAACAAAGAGGGTTAGGGTTAAACAGAAAAAGATTAATTCAGCCAAAAAACACAATTAGATTAATCTAAAGTGTAAAACAATCTTCAACACAGACCAAATGAGTGCCCTTGGACAACAAAACATATGGTGGGGCAACGATAAATAAAATTGAGACAGAGTGGGAGACTGAAAATGATTACTATGATACATATTCAAACTATTTACAAAACTATTTACAGAAGCTCCTGTTGAACCATGGATTTTACAAATATTTACAAACAACTATTTACAAAAAAGCAACTATTTACAAAAAAGCAATACTATTTACAAAAAAGCAATACAGAGCTCTCGGGCATCCAGGAGCCTAACCATTTTGAAAAAAACAAAAAGGTTCCTTTGTGAAAGGGACATCCTCTTCATCTGTTTCCTGGGCCCTAAAAAGCAGAGCAAGAATAGGAACAGTGGTGAATAAGGGGAGAGAATACAGTTGGGAGCAGACTGAACAGAGGACATAGCAATATTCATGTTAAAATGTTTGCACTACAAATATTATGGCACTTTCGTTTATATTGCATTTTAATAGATCAGTTGTCATACCATGGTTGGATGTGCAGCATTTGGATGCTCTAATCGATCCGAGAAGGGGTTCCAGATGTATGGCTTCCCTAAGGACATAGAGCGAAGGAAGAGATGGATGGCAATGGTCAACAGACAAAACCTGTGTCTGACAACAACAGCAGAAAACTCTGTCATGTAAGTAATGTTCACAGAGGTGACATGACTTGTTAACATTTTAAAAGGCATCATATTTCCAAGTGTAGAGAATTATGACTCTTCAATGACATTTGAAGTGTGCAGTGGAAACTGATCAAACCTACCTACCTACAGGTACACTTTGAAGACGACCAATATATTGACAACAAATCAGGAGGAAATTTGAGGTTGAGGCCAGATGCTGTTCCAACAGTATTTATACATCGGCCTAAGCCGAAAAGGAGGAAATCCACATCAAGGAGTATGCCTCCAGCTGTTAATGTCAGGAATGATGACCACACCTATTATGGCACATCAAACATTGGTATGATATATGAAGCTAACAATGTTTCCCATGTTATATAATTCAAGGATAGACTACACTCCTAATGCAACCTTCAGATTATACAGCTTCAAAACTACCAGGGTTCAGGGATTCTCTGAAGACTCATATACCACATGTAGATCATCTACAGATTTCTTCATACTTTAACATTGCCAATAGACAAACTTAGATGAATGTCACTATAAGAGTGTAGTGTACCCTTAAATGACAATAGGTGCACATGTAAAGGCAGCATACAAATATAACAGCAAGATTGCCTTGTTATTGTTATTCAGGGAGATATTGAGGTGGAGTTCCAAGGGAATGAAAGGGACATAACAGACAGAGAGAGTGAGACAGATGTCAGCAGACTGCCAGGGGCCAGTATGTCAGGGGCCGACAATCAAGAGGCCACCTTACCAGAGATCAGTGTGCCAGGAGCCAGTCAGTCAGGGGTCAGCTATGAAGAGGCCAGTTTGCCAGGGTCAGGTGCTCCAGGGACCAGACTGCCAAGGGCCAGTTGTGACCAGGCTCACGTGGAGGATCTAATGAGGCAACTGAGAAGGGAGAGATTACTAAGAAAGAGAGCAGAGAGGGCTCTGGTAAACCGGAAAATGATTAATTCGGCATTAAAAAAAACACACAATTTGATTAATCTAAAGTTTAAAAAAATCTTCAACACAGACCAAATTAGAGCTAGATTACCATCCATCTGATGAGGTTTTCACCCTTGTTCAGAACGTGGAGCAGCTGTTCCGTGTGAGGACGAGCGATTCCCTCATGGAGTCCTCAAATGCAGTGTCACAGCTGGAACAAGAAGCCATGTTGCTGGACAGTAACCTTCCCTCATGCCATGACCTGAAGAAAGAAATCCTCTCAACATACATCAGGCTGAGGTTAAGGATTGCATCAAAGTGCATCAGGGCTGAGAGGAAGGATAAACATAAAGGGTATCTTGGCAGCAAGAGTCAGAGTAAGAAGGCAAAGAAGACCCAACAGACCTCTGCACCGAAGGTCATAACATCTAGGCCACTGCCAAACACCTTACTCGTTGCCAGCGATGTACTTGGCATCTCCATTCCCGGTCCACCGTCAGCAGCCTCCAGCCTCCTCTTCTTTCAGCAGTCATCACCTGCAGCCGTTGCCAGCAGCACCCTCCAGCAGCAGCACCCTCCAGCAGCAGCACCCTCCTTCAGCAGCAGCACCCTCCTTCAGCAGCAGCACCCTCCTTCAGCAGCAGCAGCCTCCGCCAGCAGCAGCAGCAACAGCCATGGCTGACATATGAGGCTGAATAAAAAAAAGTGCTATTTTTAAAAAGTGTTTATTTTGTTAAAAATAAACATTTTGGATGCAGGACCATGTTTTAGGCTCATCCTTCATTCACTGCTGTAGAGTAGCCTATTCAGTAGGCTATTATTTTTTTAAGACTGAATAATACATTTGAAGAACAATCATTAAACTAGTGTGTATATTACAAAGGAATCTATCCTAGCATGCCATCAAGCATTAAAAAGTAGCGCTAGGCTAGTTGTACAGTACAGATGAGTTAACACGGAACAGTACAAAAAACAACTAAGTACAGTCAACATGTCACATAATGAAATGTTAGTATATCCCAAAATTCAATGAAATATTAAATGAAATATTTATCACAAACGCCACCTCATTTTTACTAGTGCTAGCAGTTAAGTCATATCATACAGAAAAAGCCGACTAAGGATGGCTGACACGGTCAGGTTCAGGAGATAAAAACCAAAATAACAATAAAAACACATAATCAATCTAAATCCTGCTTGTTAGTTACCCAGCATTAGTGCTGCGTACCTGGACTCACATTCAGGTTCAGGTCCGGACTCAAGTCCAGAGGTTCAGGTTCAGGTCCGGACTTATAAGTCCGGACCTGAACCCATGGCTTGTGTCAAGTTGTGTGAGCAACTAAAGTGAACTTATTGTGAGCTAATTATCAATTGAAAATGAACTCATAATCAACTCAAATTCAAACTCATCAGGTTTATTGTGCTCCCTTCCAACTTGTGTCTACATTTCTCTACAAAGTACAAATGTAAAAAAAAAAACTTTTTGCCACTTAGTCTACAAATGACTTATGACAGCAACTACAGTGAACTACTACAAAGTGCAAACATTTATTTCATTTACCAAACTAAAGTAACCAAACAGTCCCTGAGCTGACTGAGCCTAAATCCCTAAAACGTTGCTGAAAGGTAGAGTGTAGAGTAGACTATACGCATTACACTGTTACACACCTACTATACAGTATAGACTACACTGTAGTGTACTGTACTGTCTGTACACCATGTATTTTCTACAACTCAACATGTGTACATTATACAGTACATACTACATACATAGTGATGTACATACTGTTAGAAATTAAAATCAATGTTGATATGGCGTAATTTTGAATTAAATACACTATTTAATTTAAATCAGTTTTATTCTGAAAGAACCGGAAGTTCACACTATTAACTTGATACTTTTATTCTGAAAATTATTCACTTCCGGTTAGCATTAGCATGTGGCGAAATGCTACGTTTTCAAACCGTGAATCGAAGGTGAAATGACATGATGTTGTACACTGAGCACACTGGGATTAGCACTGATTTATTGACGCTGAATAACGTTTATCAGGGAATGTTTAAATAACCACAGATACCAGAATATACGCAAGTGCTAGTTTTTTTGCCAAGTCCAAGTACCGGTTCCCGACGTTCCGGTTTTAACCGGACTTGAACCGAAACTTTTTACAAGTCCAGTACCGGTTCGGCGTACCGGTACGCAGCACTACCCAGCATCATTGATTCTTTCACACACACATACGGGTTTTGGGCCGAGGGCGACACCGTACTTCCGGTATCCGCCATTTCACACGAGGTGCAAGCAGAATATCATAGTCTATTGCCTTAATCCAGGGTTACTCAAATACAAATCTTAAAGGTCCAAAATAAATGTTTCAATAAGACAAAGGTCCGTTTATTACGGTCATTCAAACTTTTAAACAATTGCAACAAGATTCTTAACACGAGGTTGCAAAAACAAAATAATCTGTATGCAGCAGTTTTCATTGTTATTGTGTCTGTGCTTGACCCCTCAGAGTCGCAGTGTAAGAGCTGCACAGTTATGAATAAAGGCAGCTGCACCCTCTTTCATTCAGCATTCCCATTATTGCTTTATAAATGTCTTGCCCCCTTGTGTGTCCACTGAGGTTCGTCAGGCCCAACACATCTTCAACAAACTCCCCCTTTGCCTCATCATAAAAACTCACAAACACCAGCAACTGAGCATTGTCAGTGGTGTCAGTGGACTCACCCACAGCTAAGGAAATGCACTGTGCATTTTTTATTCCATCACAAAGCTGATGAATCAAATCACCAGCCAGTATTTATGTTCTTCTGGTTGCTGTGGAATCTGAGAGGGGGATTTGCTTGATTTGACCTGTTATTTCCTCTTTTTGTTTGCCTTCATCATGGTCTCCATCAATTCAGTCATGCATTATTTTATACTTCAGTTATTATCCAGTGGAAAGCCCTTACCTACTGGCCTAGTTAAATCAAAGTGGTTACTTTTTTTTGGCTGGGCAGTGAAGTTTTACACACCGTCTTATTTGACTTTCTCAGGACTTAAAACAGTTTTTTGGGGGCAGACCCCCTCAAAGAAAAAAATATATTTACACACGTAAGGTCATCATCTTAAAGGTGGGGTAGGTAAGTTTGAGAAACCGGCTCGAGATACACTTTTTGTTATATTCCATGGAATGCTCTTAACATCCCGATAGCAATGAATATCTGAAGTATTTGACACAAAATCCATAAAAAAATGTCATCTGTGGAAGCCGTGGTACTGTAAAAAGTACAACCAATCCGTTTAGGCCGGCTAAACGGATTGGATTGCCGCCCTGTCTGTCAGCCTTCCATCTCATGCACGCACAAATGTATCTCGTGCCCTCATTGGGCGTGCATTGCAGCAGTACTTCAATGACTCGCCAGGCGGCCACTTTCACCAGTCTGCAGACGTCATGTGCGCGTTCATGTGTGTTGGAGGAGGTGCTCTGTAAGGAAGTCTGAAGGAAGGGGCGGATTCTTTTCGGCTGTGTATTTTCAAATTGTAGTGCACTCGAGCCGGTTTCTGAAACTTACCTACCCCACCTTTAATAGTTGTGTATGCTCATCCGTGAGCAGAGCATCAAGTTGACATGTCTATTACAGCTGAATGCGGCGATTACCATTTCACAAACGTATTAAGATCAACAGCTTTAGTGCGTTTTGATTCAATGCTGAGTACAGCCAAACTGACAGTCTCTTCTCTGTCATTGTAGACCGCAAATACCTCATTCCTTCAGTGCTTGGGTCCGAATGCTTCTCGTTTTGCGCCGTCCAGTTCAAAATGAAATCGCCGCCAATCGTATGTCCACACTCGCGCCAGGACCGGGGGACGTGCATGACGTGCATCTTGTGCTGCATTCACTTGCACTCGGACATTAGAGACTTTCTCTCATAAATGTCCGATGAGCCACAACTTTTCTTTCAAAACAAAGCTGCCAACTGGGGTGGCAGCTGGGGTGGCAAGGCCTATTTTTAGGGTGTCAGTTGCCACCCCGGTAGGTGAAACTACGCTACAAGCTACAGTACAGATGGAACTAGATGAGCTGTTAACTCTCGCTCTGAATTTTGTTTTTTTTAATTCTCGCTCTGACTTAGACAGGTTGAAAGAGACACACACATTTTTCCCACCCACATTCCGCGAAGACCCGCCCTACTGTGCCTCTGATTCGCAGATTGTTTGGGGGGGAAAAACGCTGACTGGATGCTGAATGTGATTGGACCAAAGCGTTGACACACACAGGTGGAACACAGTGGAACAGTCAGACATGCAGAGCGCTGTTTGCAGTGGACATAGCGGAGAATTTTGACTCGTTGCGAATGCGTTGTGGCGATGTCTCACATATAATACAGAGAGATAATACATATGAAAACTATAATTTGCTCAGAGTCCGGAGACAGTGGTGGTTCGGTCCGGATCCGGACCGGAGTCCGTAGTTTGAGGATGCCTGCCTTAATCAATATAGTCAACTCTAAAATACCACATATATGCAATGGCATGATAATATTATTGTGACAAGTGGGGTATTCACCTGGTGTTTCCAGAAATTAGACGTAGATGCTGCCAAAATCGAACGAAGGCCACTTTCGAGGGTCGTAATTCCATACATTGTAAGGGCAATCCGACAACCCACACAGCTCTAGTTTACGCTGGTAACGACCTAGAGCACATCCCTCAAGTCCAGAGATGTAATCCGAAGACATGCAGCGATTTATTCGGTCGTTAATTCAGAAAAAAAACCTAGTGCGCTCTGCATGGCTACGTTAGCTAGCTGTTTATATTAGCACCTCCAGGATTTTTGCACCTCCAGAAAAATGGCGTATTTATATATATATATGGCGCACGTTGCATTGTGGGTAGCTCGTGACGTCACTGTATAAGCTGCTAGCGATTCATTACTGAAATCTTACCTTCAAAGCTGACGAAGTCGCGCTAGCTAACTAGCAGGCAATGCTAGCAAAATTGGTTGTAACTGTCACTACCCGATCTGCAGCTCTGCCCGATCTGCAGTGCGCATGTGCGAGATGGTCCGCCATATTGGACAACTCCGGACGGCAACCCAAGATGGACACTTGACACAGTGGCTTTTAGCAAAGCTCAAAAATAAAACCAGAGAAAGATGAGTTATTGCTATTACGACGTGACTTCACTGTTATTTAACAACTCTTTTTATTGGGTTCTTTTATTTGGGGTTAAGTACATTGTCAGAATAAGTGAGAAATGCAACAAGCAGTGAAGTGGAAAGTAATGTAAACAATCTACAGAATAACATATAGAATGAATTGAATGATGAATAAACAGTGGGGTATCACTGTTTATTCATCATTCAATTCATTGCACCTGGTTGGAAGCTAAACTGCATTTCGTTGTCTCAGTACCTGTAATATGTGCAATAACAATAAAGTTTCTCTTTAAGTTAAACCAAATCATTAAAATAAAATCTATTGTAATGTAATGATTTGGTTTAACCTTATTTATTGAATACATCATTTAAAATGGCAAGATTAAATCAAATTACATCCATGTTGTACACATCATAAAGCTTAAAGTGGCAGCAAAATAATTAACACAGCAGCAGGTCTGTTCAATTCATGCTCATTAAGCTTCATGTGTGCGGATCTGAAGGGACTGATCATTTGTAGCCTGTCCACCTATCAGTTTTGCAAACATTAAGAGGGAGGAGCATTTCTAATTATGGAACCCAGTCACTGGTGTGGTTCATCATCATGACTGAAT